GAAAAACGAAGAAGCAATAGGCTCTAGGCCATAGGGAGAAAAAAAAGAGATGAACATCAGGGGGTGTAACGACACGAGAAGAAAAATGAAGATGCGAAGCGCGACAAAGAAAGAGACGGATAAAAAGATCTCGGACCCCCGGGGGAGAGAGAAGACATGTAAACACTCCCCCATGCGTCAGCAGAGAAAGTCACTAGCGAGGACACAAACACACACACACACACACACACACACACACACACACACACACACACACACACACACACACACACACACACACACACACACACACACACACACACACACACACACACACACACACACATGCACAGACACACAGCCCCTTCCCCTCCCCCCTCAAGGGCGAGGACACGCACAGGCCGCACCTCTGGGATTTTACTCGAGGGATTTTAAGGAGAGGGGTGTGTGATGCGCTAGCCGTCGCCCACCCTTGGGCGTCCGCCTCTTCCTATCTCTCTTCGCAGTCTCTCGCCGATTCTCGCTGCGACCTTCATGCCACCTCGCGGTCGCCCCCTTCTCGTCGTGGCTCGTGCTCTCCCTTGTCGCTTCTTCCTCTGTCGCGTCGCTCTCCTCTGCCTCGTTCTGCGACGCCGCCGCCGCATGCCGGTCCCTTGTTCTCGCGGCTTGTTGCGCCTTTCGGCGCAGCTCCGCCCTCCTCGCTGCATATCCTGGCTTTACAACAAAAGCTCCCTCCAGATTTCGCGTTTCTTCTTGTACGGCTATCCACCCCGCCCAGCCAAGGCCGCCGCCCTTCCCAAAACGGCCTCGCCCCCACGCCGCCGCCTCTGCCGCCGCCCTATCCGACCGCGAAAATGACCGCTGCGCTGGTGCCGGCCGCGAGGCAGCTCTCGGTCCTCGCTCCCGCCTTTGGTCTGCACACCGCGCTGATCTCGCGCGTCACGCTGCGCGTCCCACCCTTGGGCGACCTCTACCTGGAGGACGCGATCGGCGCGGCAGCGGCGCTGTGGCTGGCGCCACGGTGTGTGCCTCCGCTCGCCGCGCTCTCGTCGCCTGCAAGCGAGCCGAGCCTTCCGCGCCTCAGTCGGCGGCGCCTGGCGTTTCTGCTGGCGGCGCTTGGCGCGAGGTACCTCCTCTCCGGCTGCATCAAGCAGGGTGCTGGCTGGCTGCTCGCTGCGGCAACGCCGCGCCTGGCGGCTCCCCGAGCGTGGGCGCTCGCGACGCTGGCGGGGCACCTCGCGTGGGTCGGGATGGCAGTCCGCCTGCTCGGCGACGAGCTCGGCTTCTTTGCTCCGCGCTCGGCCTGGCTCCGGCTCGACTGGAGCGCATCCTGGCTGCGGTGGGTGCTGTGCGGCGCCGCTGCGTGCGTGCCTGCCTTTGAGCTCGCCTCCAGCCTGGCGCCGTCGCCGGAGCTGGGGCTGGGCGCGCTCGCCTCCGCCGCCCCCACCATCACCGCCCAGATCACCTCCCTCGACGACGGCCTCGCCTTTCGCCTCTCGGTC